TCAAGGAAGAAGCAAGTGGATGTCCTTTGTGTTCCTAAAAGAACTCAGAGATTACATTCCACATGGATGCTATGTGGAATGGCTTCACAAAGTGTACAAAGAATTAGAAAAACAGATATTTCCAGCAGAAAAGAAGGGTGGGAATGATGAAATGAAATTTAGGAACAAATAATACAGATAAATTCTGGGGTTTAACTGATAATTAAACTTGAGGCATCAGGATACGGAAAATTAAAGGATAAATAAACTTATACATCTAAGRCCATGTCAGCAAGTGAGCAAAAGATGCATCTTTGCTGAGTATGTAGTATGAGGAAAGTTATATAAGAGAATAWAGCAGTACCTGTGGGGTGAATCTGACATAAGTGTGAAAGCAGTTCTGCCATGGTTTCACAGCCACATGGTTTTCTGCTACCCAAATACACCCAGAAGCCTCCCACTTGAACTGTGCCTAGATTTGGAAAGGATTTCCACATTATTTCAACATAAAATGTGTTGTTTAAGCTGGGATCAGCTCAAGATTAAGATGTCACTAAATGTACATGTCTGCACTTTTGTTTGACTGTATATAAATAGGTAGACAGTGGGCAGTTGATCCTAAGCACTGATTATCATCAATATAAATCTTGTCACTACAGCCATTTGGAATTAGGGAATTCTGTCTGAAACAGACACCAAGGCTGCATTATACTAGTAGATTAAATGCATCTGGTACTGTTCTCTGGCTGTGAGAAAACTGATGTGGAAATGGTCCATACCAGTACTAATCTCCAAATCAGGATGATCACATCTAGTCTGCCTATTGGATATGATCTCTGGCCTATATTAACTCCACAGTAATCCAGAAAGTGTTTAGAAACATGCTAGATATCTTAATAGACAACTACAGGGCAGCTTTTCACTGCCTAAACTGAAGCTTGAATACCTAGCTCCCACATGAGTATCTGCTTACAGATATATGTGTTTCTGTGCTTACTCTTCCACTGAATCCTCTCTCAAAGTACTTGCACCTGGAGTTCTTCCATGTGCTCTTCAGCGYGCTTGAAAGTAAATAGTTCAAATATTGGAGACAAAATAGATGTGATGGTATGGGAAAGCTCTGAGGCATTCAGCCTTACACAGTCCAACACAAAATGCCACAGAAAAGGCAAAGGGAAGTTCATTGTATCTGTCTATGAATCTTGTGTCATATTGATATTAGCTGAAAGAAACTAATTAAATCAATTCAGTTCAGTAACACTCATGTAAATCAAACAAAAATGAAGAGATGAGCTGAATTTTAGGCTATAGTACAGCGCTGTGTCCTTTCCAAGCAGCAGAAAGAGAGACAGACTTTAATGTTTATATAAGAAAGTGTATAGTAAGAGTGAGGTGTGAAAGGGAAAATATTGATATATTGAGCAAGTTTATTGCCTTTACATTTCTGAAATATTTCACAGGATGCAAGTGAAAAAAGCATCTGAGTAGCTTGGTCCAGTCTTGGTACAATACACTTGAGTGCCTGGGAGAGGCTTTGGACAGACAAAACTATATCAAGTTACAAGGGACAATGCTTTAGCATATACATGAGGTGAGACTTCAGACTTAGTCTGAGCTGTAACCTTTACTACAAGTCCTTCTGCTTTTCTCTTAAGTTCAGCCCTAACAATATATGTTTGTATGTGTTTCATCTTTTTAATAAGTATGTTAGATGGTACTTTTGTAAGAGATTACCACATTCTATTCCCACTTTCCATGCACTGTCTTGACCCTGGTGGTTCTCAGTATTGGAAAAACTTGGAATAAACACAAATAAACATTTTGAGAACTTGCTCACTGCACTACTAATTCTCTAATACCTTCAATGAGTATATGGTTTCTGAGATCCAAAATAAAAGCTTACAAATAGAAAACTCTCAAGTATTTTAAAACAAAAATTATGTAACTCTGTATGTTATCCAAGCAATTTTCAGATGAGTTGGTCTCACATCATGTAGAGAGACAGCTAAACAGAACATATGGGTAAGCACTAAGGCATTTATAGAACAGTCAAAATGCTTCTAAGAGCTCTGAATTGTCATCACTTCCTTCAATAACCAAGGTGAATGGAATGCACACGCACATGCACGCACATACACATGAAAACAAACAACAGGAGCTTAATATCAGGTAATGTGATTGCCTTTAATTATACAAAACTCCCTCCCAGAAAATAAATACATTTTCTTCCTCATTTAGGCAAATAAGCACTACAATATCCCCAGTTTCAGTAAAATAACTTCCTAACATGTATTCTTTATTGTTAGAGTCATATAACATCACTTTTTGACACAATACTTACATAATTCTTGGCTTCATAGCACTCTGCTGTGCATTGGCAACATTTTCCTTGTCAAATGGTTTAGTCCTTAGCACAAAATGTAATAGTTCTGCATTAGGCATCCATTCACCCTACCTTTCCACCTTGATCATGAAGAAAATGGACCTTGAGTAACTGAAATTACATTGAATTGAGTTTCCTCTCCTCTGCAGAGCCAACAGAGCATAGATTTATTAAAAAAAAAAAAAAAAGTTGCTGCTTTCATACTAAATCACATTGTGCACCAGTCACATAACTGGATTACAGGAAGCACTAACACTAGCAACTGCCCTTTCAAGTTGAGAAACTAACAACATTGCTAAAAGCTGGAACAAAAAAGGTCAGCCAGGGCAAAACAACAAATGTTGACACTTGCCCTATATATTAAAAACCAGAAACCAGCAACAGGCAGTAAGTGCTAATTCAAAACAAAGATGAAGTGATACACATGCAATTCAAAATAAACCAGATTCCCTTGGTAATTGCATTAACACAACCATCTACATCAGGTGACATTCAAGATGGAGAAACAGAATGATGAAACACAGAAACCTGGAAGGAGCAGGGTTGTGCTTGCATGACAGCAACCACCCTGTTGTGGGACAGCTGCCCTTTTAAAGAAGACACATTCCAAATTTCTGATCGTAGGATTAGTCTGAAGCCCAGCACTTTGGCTTCAAACATACACGACCCCAAAGATTTTTTCTCCAAGGATGACATTAAAACCAAACCAAACCCACTGTCCTTCAGCACATCCAGCGAAGATCCTAAGCATAAACAGCTTTCATGTCATGATTAGCTCATGCTGTTATACCTCCCCTTAAAGCACATATGGTTCTCAGCCAGAACAGAAGGCTTCAGAGAAGCAGCTCCATCGTAGAAATGCAGAAGCAAAGCTTCAGACCGAAGTCACTTAATGAGAACTTAATATAGATTTAATGGACCTTTGTTTTTATGTGACTTTATGTGCCAATGGAAAATCTGCCTCATTTAGCTTTCAATGCAGGCACAGAGCCAGTCAGCTAAAATCAGGGTAGCCAGAGAATATTTTTGCAGGAATCTTCCATTACAGGTTGAGGACTATGGATCTCCACAAGTGTGCAGAACTGTAGTAAAATAACACGTCATGGGTAACAGTGTCATTTAATTAAAAAAAAAAAAAAAAAAAAAAAAAAAAGAAGAGCCATGCATACTTTGAGTTCCTTGCACTAATAAAGGGTTTCACATTGACAGGAAGTGAAATAATGCTTGCAGAGGAAAGAAGAGAGAAGATACCTTCACTATGGAGTTGGCCCTGCTGCCTTAGGCTAGCTTTGAGGCACAGATATCCAACTTGCTTGCCATCGCCTACCCTTGATCAATACCATTCTGTACTATGTATGCAGTTGGCATGTCCCCAGTAAGGCAAGACTGTTAGTACCTTATTTTCTCTGATATGGACATTCCACACTGCTGAATTTAGTCCACTAACAATGCTAGCCATCTAAAATTAGATGAAGAGGTCTTTTTCATATGGGATGCAACAAGCCCAGAGAACAGCTTTTTGAGCCTACTTCCCTGATAGAGCTTTTTAACGATCAAAACTTTAATACTGGACAAATAAAATCACTATTTTCTTTTTTTTTTTTTTACCCTGATTATTCTTTTCATTGTCATGTCTCTATTGCATTTGGTGCATTCATGCAGAACTCTAAGTTCAGTACAGGTAACTCATACCATACTCTAATGTTCTATGCTCTTTTTTCGTTGTTTGTTAAAGCTATTCTCTTTCAATCTCTCATCATCCTCTGAAAAAAGCAATTTACAGGTTTCACTTTAATCTTTATTAGTTCACTCTAATGACTGCATGAGCCATTGTAAGTCGCTCATCTTCCCTCTGTGAATCAAGGAGAGCTGCCTATGCACAGGGGTGAGGAAAGCAGTGTCTGTGCAGAACACATACAGAMTGTGCTGTGTACCCCACCAAGCACAGCTCTCCTGACAGCAGGCTGCTCCACTGGCACAAAGGGTGAGGATGCAGCAGGACTGCACCAGTATATGGTTAAACTGATATGGCCTTCACTGCAGGAGGGAGGGAGCTCTGCCATCACCTTCTTGAGAATGGGAAAGGTCACACACAGAGTTAACTGACCCAATCCGTATGCCCCAGAAGAAGCACATATGGCTTACACCAACAAAAACATAGTACCATTTTTTGTCAAACACAATTTTTTGCCAAACAGCTATGTAAGCATAATGGTAGATTTACCAGAGAAATGGAAGTGAACGAAACCTTTATGTCACCCTTTTAAAATCTCACTGCCTCTGCAGAATAGATCCCTGAAGTACATTTTCTTATGACCAATGCAGGATAAGTTTAAAGCCCTCCACTATCAACTGTGCAAACATCAGTCAAGACAAGAGGATCAACAGCATGTGAGGCAAAGGTAAGGTCTTTACCTACAAAGAGGCCATATTCTGCACTGTCCATCAGATCGCTTGTTGATCACAGCGCAATTCTATCCATGCAAATTCCACCAAAGTGATGAAATTCAAGACAAGTGGTCATTATTCAGATACAGGTGATCAGTCAGGATTCCCAAAATTACACTTCATCTATATTTATCTATAGGCATATTTATTCCCCAGAAAACCCCTCCAGAAGCCAGAAAAAGTCACTTACCACAATAATCACATTAGTTGTAGGAATGGGAAGATTCTCCACTTCCAAATCTTGACCAGTCATTGCTAAAAGATTGAGGGATGGGTCATAAACAGACCTAGGGAAGGCTGATTTAACAATTATTGCAGGGTGCAGCTTGCTTATTTTGGTGTGGGAAGAAGAATGGAAATTTTGCTTGGAATCCTTATAGCTGTCTGTATCCAGACTTTTCTCCACACTCTCCACATGGTGATAAATAAACACAGGTTTTCCACTCTTTCGCTGATGAATTGCCAAAAAGTGGTCACTGTCTCCAGAAAAGCAGCCTGTAGAAAGAGAAGAGCAAGTTTAGAATGTCTCTCTTGGCTATTCTGTACATGCCACTGGAAATTCAATGAGATCTTTGGGTTCTGAGAAATTTGGAAAAGTATTTTTGGAATACAAAGATTCCCTTAAAATGCATTTTCTATAGTAATAGATTAACAGCACTACAGAGTCTACTAAGTATGTGAACTGTACCATAATTTAAGCACATTTTCACAGGACTTTTAAAAATGCTCTTCATATATCCAGCCATGGCTACATGTCAAAAATGATGTGGAAAAGAAGAGCACATGCTGAGSCAAGTTCAACTTCTGTATTGATACCAAGTTCAATCGGAAAACATATGCAGTTTGTACTTTCTGATGTATTTTATCAGCAGTAATATAAAAAATGAGAATAGGAGTGATCATCTTTTATAAACAGGCAATTAAGGAGAAAAGGTCAGGAACCAGATCAAAAAAATCAGACTTAAACCTGTGAGAAAATTCAGATGAGTCCATAATCCTAATTCTGCATTCCTTGTTCAGCCGCTTGTATCAGGAGACCTTATAGGCCCTTGTGCCAACTCTTGTTATGACCCAACCTTCATTCAACCATYGCCTGGCCAGCCAGTGGAGCATCTGGCTCTCTGCAGAGGAGATAGCGGTGTGTGGGTTTGGCCATACCTTGCATACCTTGGTGCTGGGCACAAAGAACTCTCTTAGATTAGGGTATTGCACACAGGGAACTTGAGCATGTCTGTTGAGGATAGGCTGAGAGAGTTGGGCCGGGTCAGCCTCGAGAAGAGATGACTGAGTGGGGACCTCATCAATCTTTACAAGAATCTGAAGGGAGGGTGTCAGAGGATGGAGCCAGGCTCTTCTTGGTGGTGCCCAGCAATAGGACAAGAGGCAATGGGCAGAAATTGATGCACAGGAAGCTCCACCTGAATACAAGGAAGAACTTTACTGTGCAGGTGACCAAGAACTGGAACAGATTGTCCAGACAGGTTGTGGAATCTCCCGCACTGGAAATATTCAAGAACGGATCAGATGAAATCTGCAAAGTGCTTTCAGATGACCCTACTTGAGCAGGGAGGTTGGACCATATGATCCCGCTGGTCCTTTCCAAATGTACCCATTCTGTGATTCTGTGATTACATGGGTTTAACTAATTATATATTAGTAAAAAATAAGTTCTCCTTTGAAAGACAAAATACTTCCTGATGATGCCTTTTTAAGAGGAACCAAGACTAAATTTTTATTTGGTTTTAGGTTTTGGTTGGATTTTTTTCATGGATGAAATATAGTGAATCTTTAGTGACTTTATGCTGAACAGAACAGCTACAAAAAGCCCAGTTCAGCTCCCAGTCTAGAAAGCAGTCTATCTGACCAGAAAAATAGGCAAGGATCAGTTCCCTCACAGATAAAAAGTAACTGAAGCTGCATTAGTCACTTATGAGAAAACACTCTAAGAAACCCAGGAGGGTGGAAAAGGGACTTTGTGTTCTGAAAAAAGTGAACCCAAAGAGCTCACTCTGATCAGCCTGGAATTTCCTCTTCAGATGCTGCTGGAGTTAATGGTAATGATAAATTTGGAAGCTGATTTTTTGTTGAAAAAATATAAAATCAATATTACTTTAATTCTCATAATGAGCTGTGAAGAGCAACTTAGCACCAACAACATGTTTCAATTCAGGGTGAACAAGAAATCATTTTGTTCTATTCAAACTGAATTTTTCCTCAGATTTTTTTTRCTTCTGTAAGCAAATCAAAATAATCAGTCATTTGCACAGCACTACCCAGTGCCCTTAGGAGGTTTCAGTGTAGGTAATTACATTCTGTTGACCTAATTTCCTCATGAAATTTTAGTTAGGGAAATCAAGGACAATACCTTATCTGTGCTATAGTATTGCTTTGCATCATTGAGAAATGCATTCTCTGGAATAAGTGGGTCCCTGTCAGTAGGCAGTGAGGCAATTTATAACATACATAGACAGAAAATCAATAGTAAAAAGACAGAATACAGATCCTCTATTACAAAGTAAAATGTTAAATCTAAGACTACTCTTTCAAATAATTTTAAAAAAAAAATCTCTTAGATGACCACTGAGGTCACATGTTTAAAGCTCTTGTCAGATTTTGATTAGGAAGATGTCTGAAAGCAGGCGGGAAAAAAAAGAGAAACTGCAGAGTATAGTCTTAAAGACAGCTGAATTTCAAAACTTGTTAGGCTTGCTGGGTTCTCATTAAGCTTTGTGGGTGTTGGCTTCATTGATAAAATCCTGAGGGCTAGTCTTAACTCGCAATTTAGAGAGTTGTGTCAGTGGAAAAATAAAAATAAGGAAGCATCAGCATTTCTCATTGTCCCCTACTTCTCACAGTCCTCTCTTTGCTGGATTTATTTTCATGTCTCCTTCACAGAAAAACAGTATTCTGAAACTGATCATAGATAATACAACAAAATGTAACCACCAACACATTTGCTGTGTCTTCTTTGCTTCCTTCGTTCCTGCTCCTTTGTTTCTGAGAGAATCAAACCAACTGTGATTCTCCTGGAATTCTTTGTATTGCATTTTCTACCCACTCCAATATTCTAAGTTTCCCTCTTGTTGCATAATTTTTACTAAATGAAGAGGAAAAAAACCCACAATAAACTAGCAGCACAAATCCTTCCCTGAATACTTTTAAAAATAAAAAATTATTTAAAGGAACTCCCCCAAAAGCTTACTTGCCCTTAAGTCTCAATACTTTTTAACAGCAGAAACATTATTTGCTTCTAAATCCCAGCAGATTTGCTTCCATTAGAAYGCTAAATATCACACCAGTAACACCAATCCCTGCAGCCATACCAAGGTCTGTTGCAGCAGATTTTCAAGATGGACAACAAAATTTATTGTTTAACCTGTAATAATGAGAAATTAAAAGTCTAATTACACACTAACTTTATACTCACATCAAACTTTTTTCATCAGCTGAGCACTCAGAAGTTCAAACATGTTCGAAGAAAATTACTACACTGAATCTGATTGTCTGAGAAGTCCACATAGTCCCACCTTAAGTAGGTTACAAACATGCAAAGTGCCTCATGTGAAAAACTTCACTAACCTTAGCAGACCGTGTATAAGGCCCTAACCACTACCAGTCTTTGGCTCCCAKACTGCCATGGATGCTTCAGCTGACCTTTACAAATGGGCTGTCTTTGATACTACAGGGGAACCTAAGCTTCCATTCAATTTGATGAGGTGATAATATATCCCTTCTTGACCCTCCAGACTTCAGCTCCAAACACAAGCAATAGGCTTGTGACACTTGGAGGTACTTGGAGAATTAAGTAGTTAAAAATACCAGCAATTCTGCTACATACCATCTTTAAATATCACCACCCTCCAACCCTAAACGTAGAGAAGACTGGGATCCCTGTATCAAATTCTGAATTTCTACCAAAAAGGAAAATGCTTCTCTGTGGCTGCCAGGAAAACTTTCAGAAGCTAAGAAGAACTTATATCGGTGCCTTTTAAGCTTCAGATACCCCAACACACACAAAATTTCAGTAAATGTGGTTTAGGACAAGGCTCAAAAAATAAAATTCCTAGAGGTTTCACTTTCATAAGCTTAGCAAACCTTATCCAAAAGTATGCTCTGATATTCTGCTCACATACCTGTTTGAACTCTCCTTCAGGATTATTATGAGTTATTTATGATTCACTTGAAATACTCACCCAGTGCTGCTATTATCCTTTAACTATAATAATTTTATTCCTTCTCCTAAAATTCTCACCCCTCAAGTGTACTTACAAAGAATTACAGTTTATTCTGCCTCAGCATTGAGAACAGACTAGGTRTTAGATTGTGATTCCATGCTATTTCTTCTATCCAAAATAATGCTGAGTCCACCTATTTCTAAGCTAAATGTATCTGTCTTCATGTCAAGGGAAATTTTATTTGTTCCGAAGTGAACAGTAATCAATGGTTACTTTCAAACCCACATCAAAACTTCTCTGAGCAGCAGGTTTGTGTGTACTTTAGCTCCTGCCCTTTCTTCATGTAGATCATCTCATGTAATAATCATTTCAACATGCTTTAGTAACAGATGCTGCACTGTGACTCAATATTGATCTGATCTGTTGATTCTGCCCTCCAGTTCTTCTGTCTCTACAATGGAGTGATTGGTCACAACTCTTTTTGTTGGATTTCAGCTCTGATGAATATTGTTATTTTTTTCTTCTGCTCTTTATACAAAAGGTAACTATTCCTTCYTTGCAACTCCTTACTGCTGCTGCTTTTCCTCAGATTTTTTTAACAATAAAGTCTGTCTTGATCTTGCTTCCACGTTCATCCACAGTAAGCCCCTTCTTTAATTTAGCTGCTCCTGTACAACAGTATTCTCCTTCCACAAATTCTCAAATCTAGTTGCATTTCCAAATCCTGGAGCTGTGCTTCTAGAACCTCTACCAACTATAACACCACATCTATTAAAATGCAACAAGAAGCTCTAGAGTGATGTCTACTTTCTAAATCTAACATYTTCTCTTCTGATACTAGTTTTAGTATTTCTATCAGTGCCGCCATTAACCACCTTCCTGAAAGAAACACTGGACAAATATCTATGAAATTCCTTCTTCTGCTGAATCCAACTGTTCTGCCTAATTGTTCAAAATACATGTTCACTCCATCTTCTTATCTGTCTGCAGAAGCATACAAGATAAAACTATTTCTGTCATAAATTAAAAGAGAAAAAAAATTCTAACCTACAGGAGATTCATGGAGAATGGGATAGTAGAATTCCATGTGAAATATCTACATCATCCCAGTACAYGGGAAACACAAAATTTCCTCATGAAAACAGATGGGTAAATCACAAGAATGCTAGATAGCACATGCTTCTGAGCCTGTCTTACACTACAAAGTTGCATTACATACACAGACAGGAAAGCCTATAATCTGATGTGCTGGGTGTTGTGGGCACTTCTGACTGCTCCTCAGAGGCAGTTGACCTCTGCTTAATAGAAGAAAACCTAAGA